ATTTAATGAATTTAAAAAATATGAAAATGTCATTAAACATAACGATTAGTATTAGGAGCACATATTGATGGACAATGACTTGCAATAGTTTGTCGCGTGTCATATGTACACTTAATGGGAAGAGGCCGCGATTAAGCATTATAGAGTGGACCAGAGCCAATTGCGTTAAAAAGTCACAAATGGTGACATTCTACAAAGCTTTACGTATTCGTGAATAGAAGTTACATAGAATGTAAACAAAGTCGTGTGATTCAAATTGAGAGTGCATACTGATGGAGGACAGTTGCATGAATCACATGCATGATCTCATGATACAATTTGTCTGCTATAAATCAATCATCGTATATCAAGACCACGATTACTTGGTAGAGGGAGTCACATGTCAAACTACATAGGTCACGACATATACATTCAACTATTCATGTGGAGAAACTATGATAACAAAATTGCTTGCATTTGAATTCTTAGTATCTTCAACCACTGCAACGTTTCAAAACAGAAATTAACAAATTTTCCGTCTTGTAATAATGTATAATACTCCAAATATTCTTGTTTTTACTAAATGTTTTACCTATTTTTGCAATTTTGCAAAGGGTCTCTATCTCAATACGTAATGTTAAGTCATTTTTTCAAGAGTTAAAGATGTTCATAAGGTTATCATTGGACTAGAAATTTGTGATTTCAGCCCAAACAGATAGCAATGGGCTAACAATAGTGCATATAGCCCAACTGAGATGATAAGTATCTGGACGTCAGTCCAAGTTCCAGTGGCACGTCTGTCAGCCCAATTATTTCCGTCAATTCTACAATTGATCACTCTTAATTCTTAATTTCTGAATATGCCATTGGCAACTGAGTTATGCATTAATAAGGGTTATGCCCTTCAAGAGGAAAAATACTACTTGTACATAAAAAGTTACATAATGATTTATATACAAATGAGGTGTCAAAAGATAGCGAGAAGTTTTTTTTTTTTTTTTTTTTTTTTTTTTTTTTTTTTTTTT